CTAGCCATTAGAGAGATGCAAATTAAAAACACACTGAGATACTGCCTCACACCAGTCAGAATGGCCATCATAAACAAATCAACAAACAACAAGCGCTTGCGAGGATCTGGAGAAAAGGGAACCCTAGTGCTCTGTTGGTGGGAATGCAGACTGGTGCAGCCACTGTGGAAAACAGTATGGAATTTCCTCAAAAAACTAAAAATGGAACTGACATTTGATCCAGTGATTCCACTGCTGAGATTATACCCTAAGAATCCTGAAATACCAATTCAAAAGAACCTATGCACCCCAGTGTTCATAGCAGTGTTACTTACAATAGCCAAGTGCTGGAAACGGCCTAAGTGCCCATCAGTAAATGAGCTGATCAAAAAACTGTGGTACATTTACACACTGGACTACATTCAGAAGAAAGAAAGGAGCGCTTACCTTTTGAAACAGCATGGAGAGAACTGGAGAGTATTGTGCTAAGTAAAATAAGCCAGGCAGTGAAAGACAAATACCATATGATCTCACCTATAAGAGGAACCTAATGAGCAAAACACAGGAGCAAAATAGAAACAGAGGCATGGAAACAAGGAACAGACTGACAGTGACCAGAGGAGCCTGGGGAGGAGGAAAAGTTTGGAAAGAAGGGGAAGGGTCTAGTCAAGGAACATGTATGAATGATCCAATGGACATGGACAACAGGGTGGGGACTGATCGTGGGAGCAGGGGTGGGGGAGTGGGCGGGGCAGTGGAGAGCAACGGGGGAAAAATTGGGACAACTGTAATAGAACACCAATAAAATTTTTTAAAAAAAATAAAGCAGCTATAAATTGGAGTTACAGACTCAATGTGAAGTATTGTGAAGGAAGATGAAATAGATTTTCAGATCGAAAGCACTTATTGGAGAAAAATGAAAGCTAGTACATATCTGTGCCCTACTGAGTTCAGAGTGTTCAATAAATCAATTACACAAACACACACACAAAAGAAAATGAAACTTTTCTGAATATCAGCTTAAAATAAAAGGCAATCTTTAAATCGGAAAAAACCAGTTTTCTTAAAACTTTAAAATGTTACTCTTATTTTCCTTATTTCTTCAAGGTTTGGCCTAGCATGTGCCCATGATGTAGTATTTTAAAAATGATTATCATAATTTATTGAAATTTCTATCAGCCAGAGATTACTAGAATTGATAACATTAGCTTGTTGAAAGAGGAATTCACATGATTGCTAGAGCGGCCAGTGTCCTTCCCCTTAGTTTATTTTTACTTCTCTGTGGAGAAGGGAGAAATAAAAAAGGCAAAATTTTATGAGGAACACTATACTCTTTGAATGTAACCGAATGTTATAAAGAATAATGTAACTTTAAAAACATCTTTAATGTGGAGAAATGTAAAACCACAGGAAAACTATTACAGTATGTCAGGAATGGAATTTATAGTCATCATATTTATTCATCAGCTTAGAATATCTTAGAAATAATTTGTTTTAATGAAGCATATGGAGTTTTATTTATTGAGAAGCAAATTTTGCTAATAGAAGAATAATCTCAAATTAAGAGAACCTGACCACTTCTTTCATCTACATTTGCCTAAAATTTGAGGTATTTAAAAACTTTAATATCTTTTAAAAATTACTCTCGTTTGTCCTTGCCTGACTGAAAGAGCATGTTTCCAGAAAACGGATCCATTTAACTTATATCTGTGACAACAGAAAATGAAATACAAATCATGTAATTCATTTCTACCTTGAATATATGTGAATAAAATTGACTTAGCTGTGCAGTGATAAGTTAAGAGGCTTGGCTTTAGATCCGGCAAAGTGTGTGACTTTGGGAATATTTCATTACTGTTCCAAGACTTGATTTTTTCACCTGTTATGATTTTTGTGCCCACCTTATTTGGTTGGATGGGTTTTATGACACATATTTGGAATCATGTATGTATAGTACTTAAACTGGCATAAGATACATTCCCAACCTACATTAGCCTAAACAAAAGATAAGTGACACTAAAAATCAGCAATGATATGGCATAAACAACTCCTGTTCTTCCATATTATACATAGCATAAAATAATATAACATATAATAAATTATATTTTATGCTATTATATAATAATATAATAGCATAATATACTAATAAATATATAAAACCATTTCTCAGAACTCCCAAACAGAATCATCATTGTCACCAAAGAGTGATGCTATAAAGCTCTTTCTGCCCCATAAAAACAACTTGATATAATGCCTGCTGACCTTCTTTTCTAAAAGCCATAAAACCACTCTAGAACTCCAACTAAATTTCACTCATTCATTCTTTTAACAATTATTTATTGAAATTTCTATCAGCCAGAGATTACTAGAATTGATAATGTTAGCCTGCTCTTTGTCAGTCACTGTACTAGGCATGAGGGAAGATATTTAAAAATTGCTTCTGGCTTTGTAAAGTTTTTGGAACAAATCTGTTACCAATCAGGGCCTAGCAGGAAACAGATTGCACTTCCAAAAGAGGATAAAACAAAGATTGATGGGGGCACTATTTTGCAAGAGGTATGGGCAAGGCTGAGGATAAGCAGGAAGGGATGACGAGGCACCATAAGGCTAGCAACAGTGGAAAGAGCTACCAGCCCTACCTCTGAAGGGTCAAGTGCAGACATTAGATATTGGAACCCAGGGAAACTTGTGACCTTGGAAGAGGGCTGCCTGCAGGGCTGTGACTTAGAGTAGAGGACTTTACCCACTGCCACACCATGGCCCGCAGAAAGGGACTCCGCTTTCCTCCTGCCTTCTAATCTGTTGTCTTTGTTTCCCTCTGGCTGAACACAGCCAGCAGCCAGAGGGCTGGAGAGCCATGGGTACAGCCCTTGGACCAGCCTCCCAGGGCACAGACAGGATAGTGAAGGTAGAGGTGCAGATCTCGAGGGGCAAACTGGAATATCCACAAAGTAATCTCTCCTTCTCTTTCTTTTTCTGCTTATATAACAGATACTAGATTTTACTTCAGAATATAGAATAATATATTTTTAAATGTAGAACATTTGTAAAATTGCCTTGCTACTTGAGATCCTGCTTTTCCTAGCCAGGGCATGCTCCCAGTTGAAGGCACATGAATGTGCCCAATAAGCTCTCACATGCAAAGTGTCATAAAACTTAAATTTATTTCCACGGTTAAGATCTCACAAAAATACTGTGGTTTGCCAAAAGACCTCCTGATGTTACCCTGGAACATTGTATCTTTCTGCCTGTCATAAATTTCCTTAGCTTGGGAGCGTCCTGCATGTGGCACACCCTTAGTCTATTAAATATCTTTCCACAGTTTTACACACCATATTATTCTCCATTATCTCCACTAAACAAATTCTACTTATTATTTAAGGCTATCTTTTCTCTTTTTTATTGAATTTATTGGGGTGACATTGGTTAATAAAATTATATTGGTTTTAGGTATACAATTCTATAATATGTCATCTGTATATTGTATTGTGTGTTCGTCTTCTAAAGACTGACTGCAACTCTGTGATAAAGTATCTGTTACTTGTCTACTTTTGTTAGGTTTCAAGCAGGCCTTGAGTAAAAGCCCTGAAATTCTGCCTACTCTTGTTAGAACAGTTTTTGAAAAGCTCAGTAATTATAAACATGTTGTATGCTGAGGAAATTCTTTTCCTTGGCCTATGGAAGCAAACCCCTGAAAAGCCTGTAAGATTCTCTCCATTAAACACTTAAAAGGCAAAGTTTCTCCCTTCCCCCACTCTCTTATCTACTCTCAGTTTTGCTGCCAACTCCTGCATAATATAGTCAAATTATGTGGTAGAAATTCAACCCTGGTTTCCTGGGTGATGGTACAATGCCACTACTTAGTATTCCTAGTCACATAGCTACCATTTCATTACGCTCCTAATCTATATATATCTTCATGTTCCAGAAGCAGACTTTTCAAATCAGGCATGTGTTAAGAGTTTAAACATACAGAGTGAGAAAACAGGAGCTTCTTGAGCACAGCAACAATGCAGGACATTTCTATACCAAGAACTTGAGAAACCACCATATGGATGGATGCTTCTGGGTTTCGATGATTGTATAGTATATCATTTCCAGTTCAGTTCTGCAAACTCAGAATTCTTCATATTCTTTTGCAAACTATCAAATGCCTAAATTTTCAATTTGGGCCTGTTTTAATAGCATGAGTTTTCATAGACCAGTGACTAGTTTTCCTTTTGAGCTTCCACAACGAGGATGTACCCTTCAATTTTGATAATGTTATACAGGTTGTTTCTGAAGTGACTTCCAGTGGTCTACACAAAACAAATGCCATGAGCTGTAGTGTCTTTACCTACAGTACCAAGGTCTGTGTGACTTAAATCAGAGGCTTCTAGCTTTTTCTAACTACTGGTTGCTAAAATTCTCTGTGATGAATACTTACCTAAATATGTATTCATGTGTGAGGTTTAAACTAACAGTAAAATTGAAGCTAAGAATTTTTTATTATGTATGTTTTTTTGCATTGCTTTAGTTTTCTTTCTTTTCCTTTTTTTTTTTTTTTGATAATAGTATCAAGTGGTCATATTTCTTAAGTTCTAGACCTGCCATGTTTTAGTTGTTACCTTGGCCAAATTATTTTTCTGATCCTTTGTTCTCTCATTAGGAAAAAAAAACACATGAAAATAATCTCACAGACTATTAAGGGAATCAAATGAAATGTTTTATGAGGTAGCACTTTTTAAGTATAAAACTCTTTACAAATACATATCATATCTATATTTTTAATGACAGTTGATTATTTGGGAACCCAATGGTTATAACTATTTTCTCCTCCCAAATAGCTTTGCATTTATTTCTGGGATGTTTATATTTTGTGAACTTCTTTTCTCACATGTCAGATTGAACTGGCATAGAAAATTATGATATTTACATACACATATACATTGTATATATTCAAATGTTAATTTGGGGAATACAAATTTGTATTTCAGCGTACCAAACTGTTCATTTTGTATGTCTTTTTTTTTCCTTTGTAGGTCTTAAAAAGTGTCAGCAAAGCTGCACTGAATAACAGGCACACTAAGGGGACATATTTTTCATCTCTATAATGAAGAAAAGCAGGAGTGTGATGACAGTGACAGCAGATGATGTAAGTTCCAAAAGGCAGAGATTCCACCCACTCTTTCTCTGCTCAGTGAAGTCCCTCCATAATCCTATTCACAGGACAGGCAAGGTTAACACCACTATTTTGTCACTAGGTGTTTCTGTGACCCAGATATTGCCAGCACCTGGACCCGCATTCTGCGAGGTAGCACAAACGCTGCCCTCTCTGCACCTGGGAGACGGGCTCGGTTTGAGCTTTATGGTTTTCATTCTAAACCACCAATCTCTGGCGCACGCACTCATCCTAACTCTTAGAAACTCCTCTTTCCACACTGTCTGCATTATTAGTTCCCTGGTGACTTGTTTTCATACTTTCATCCACATACAACTAAACTTTGAAAGTCACCTCCTATGTTTGGGTCTTGGACGGCTTCTCATAAGAAGTTCGTGATGTAACATCTTCTAGGTCTTGGCTACTCAAATGTGGTCCTTAGAGCAGCATCATTAGCATTACCTGGGTGCTTATTAGAAATGCAGAGTGTCAGCCACACCTGATCAGGCTGTACGTTAACAGGAGCCTAGCATGACTAGGTGTGTACGCTCTGTTTGAGAAGCCCTGCTTGCAGGTCATCTGAAGAAGTCTGTTAACTCATCATCTTCAGAGCCTTGAATCTGGACAGCTAGGATTAAGTGTCTCCTTTGCTTCCCATTGATTAGTCCTTCATTATTGTGTCTTTAATTGTCCAGTCTCTACTCAGTGTATGTTTGTAATTGAGCTAAAAATTATATGCCACTAATCAGATTTGCAGAAGGAAGGGAAGGGTGGAGAAAAACAAAGTAATTTTGTTTGTTCTCTGTAATAGTTGATTTTTTTTTTTTTGTTAAGCTCCTCTTCCACAGATTTGGGAGGGGCTGAGAGGAGCTTGAACTTGCAAGTTGATATAAAATGGTGTCTTTTGGGTAAAGGTCCATCCTTTCAGGATTTCTCCCAGTTTTTACTCTTTTCCTTTAATCATGAGTCATTGGGTAAGGAGGCAAACTTTACATTAGTTAACATTATAGTAACAGATGTGTGGTATTGTCCTTGTCCTATGTTATCCTTTTCCACTGGTGCTTACTGTTTTCCAGTTGAGAAACAGCTTATTTCCCCAGACCTTTGGTGGTCCATTCTCTGCCCTTGGTCCAGCCCTGCTAAGGCATGCGACAGGTGTACCAGGTGATATCTGCTCTTGGCACCATCAGTGCACCATCTCAGTTCACTTCAAGTTTTGCCTCTCCTCCGGTGCCTGGACTCTTTACTCAAACACTCAGTAGGGGATCTGGTTGTTAAAAAGGCTTGGCTCCACTTTCTGTTAGCCCTCACCGTTGGGCTGTGCACCCCATGGACTCCTAGTCACTTTGCCTCATACTGCAGCAAGTCCTTTGGCAGGAAGCTGAGGCTAATTCTCAACTTCCTTCTCTGTCCTTCTATGGCTGTGGGAACTTCTAGGACATGCAAGTGCAGAGGGAGACTTAGGTGTGCTAGGAGACTCATGTCCTATAAAACACACTCTTTTGCCATATTTCTATTCTTTTGTGTTGAAGGATCTCGTTAGTGTTCTATTCTCATTACCCGTCTTTATTTCCCCCTTTCCTGCTCCTTGACCACAAGAGCACTTTCCTTAATTCATATTCTATGTTTTCAGTTACAGACAGAAAAGCTGTGTTTAGACATCTATTCTCTGCTGAGGATATCCAAAGGGGAGCTTCTGGACCTAAGAAATACTTTCTCTCTCTCTTTTTTTAAAAAAAACCTTGGGATTATTCCTGAATACTGTTTGTATATGTGTGCTTCAAGAGTCTATTTCCTGGAAAAGTAAAACTAAGCATTGCGTTCTGTCTAAAAGATGGACACCCCACCCATTCTGTCTTTCTCATTGCGTTCTCTGGTAATAATCTTGATCCTCCCTGAGGCAATGGCTGCCCCATTGGAAGTTGGGAAGTTTGCATACAAGAATGTGCATAAAAGAAAAGCACATTCAAAGAATTGTTAACCCCACCAGAGTGGATCATTATTGCTGAGATTTGCATCGTCCAACAAGATAGCCACTGGCCTCACATCACTCTTAAGCACTAGTCTAAATGGAGATTTGCTGTGAGCATAAAACAGATCTTGGATTTGGAATGCAGAGTAGTACAAATTAAAAATGTAAAATATTTTATTATACTTTCTGATATAGATTACATTAAAATGATAATATTTTGGATATTCTAGGATAAGTAAAATCTATTGTTAAAAGTAATTCCACCTGTTTCTTTTTTAATGTGGCTATTAGAAAATTAAAAATGACATGTCTAACTCCTATTTGTGGCTTGCGCTTTGTTTCTAATGGACACTGATGACCTCGAGTGTTTCACTCTGCACTTCAGCCTTTTCACTACAGTGCAAAAGGTCATACTAAATGTTACAGATGGCATCTATTCCCCCAGAACCAGAGCACCTTGGCGGACTTTACATTTTACATACTGCACTCTTGAAGTTTTCTCTATGTAAGAGATGTTTTATTACACTCTCATTTATTGGAACTCAGCAAACATTTGTTCAGTGATTTAAATATTCACCTAATATTAATTTAGCACCTACTATATGCCAAATACTGATTAGATTCTAGAGACTCAGCAAGAAATAGCATAGAGTCTTTGTTCCTTTGGAGTGTATATTCCAGAGGGGAGGAAGTAAATAAATAAATTATAAAACAATCCCAGCTATGATAAGAACTGTGCAGAAAAATGAACTTGGTCAGGGGCAAAGAATGATTGGATGGTGAGAATAGAGTGTTTACGGGAGGATAACATGAGAAGATGACGTGCAGACAGAGAGGACGAAGGGGCAATGAGGGAGTGAGCCCTGTGAAGATATGCAAAGAACATTTCTGGTAAAGGTAACAGCATGTGCAAAGGCCTCGCTGCATGCAGGACCCTATGTTTAGTTCTGTGAGAATTCTCAAATGCATAATCATGACTACTGCCTTCATATACTTATAGTACACAAGTGATTTTAATAGGAGACTTAAAATGATGAATGACAGGAATAGTATACATCCAATCCTTTGCATTTGAGAACTAAGTTCCAGAGGTGAGGGATAAATTAAGTGCTATTCAAGTACTAAACATGAGCAATTAACTATGACTAAAGGAATTACAGAATCATTTAGGGAGGGGGAGTAGCTGTTTGGGAAGGGGTTGAAAAGGGGAAAAAAAAGTAAAGAAACCAGGAGATATGTGTATAAGTGACAAAGAGAGGGGGAGGGAGGGAAGGGCAAAAGGGAGGGAGAAAAAGAGAGATACTAAATTACTCTCATAATTGGTGGTGATTGCCCATGACAAAGCCACATTTTTTCAAAGGCAAAATTACTTTTATTATCTTCTCATGGAGCACTACGACATTTAGTCTTGATGAGGGCCCTAAGTGTCATTTAATGCTTCCAATAATTTCCATTTCTAGTTTCAACAAGGTTTAAAAAACCCTAGCCTATAATCCAAATTGAATGGGCACATAAGAACACTAGAAGCCCTTGGAAATATTTGATCTCATTTTCTCACCATGAGTTTAATCATAGGAATTTAAATTAGAGCAAACTCCAAAAATGACTGAAATACACTAAGCAAAGGGCAAAACAAAACAACAAAAGCACGACAAAGCTTTGACTACTTAGGCACTAATATGTCTCATCTGGACACCCTAGTGATCCCAACATTAAGGTAAGTTTTGATCTGCGGATCAGACAAAGAATCCCTTTGGTGTCCCCTTCCTTCCTCCCTGAAAACTTTTCCTACTGAACTGCAGGGTGTCACACTAGCCCTTCTTTTGTGATAACCTTTTGGAATTACATTGGCAAATATACTGATTTTTAAACAAGGATTATCCAAGAACAGGAAGATAATCCAAAGCTGGTTGTTTCCTTTGAAATCATAAAGACATAATTTTGGGCAGTGTGATACATTTTAAAAATTTTGGTTTCCAAAGGTAACATTCAAATTAATATTCCTTTCCCCCAAATCTTTGATCTGATGAATGGTGTGGAGACAGCCAGAGTTGTGCTGGTCACAATAAGAAAATAAGTCCAAGTTCACAAGGCCATCAACTGAAAGGTGATGGATTTAAAATTTTGCTTTTGAGAATGTTAGTACTGCATAAATTATGAGCAGGAATTAGAGAGCTTTAGATAATTATGAATAACTCTACATGGATTAATTAGTGTTTGTTAAACACTGTTAATATTTCCAGTTTTAACTTGATTTCTAAAAAGCTTTCCTTCTATTAGGTTCTTTTGTGGTAATGCATTTACACATTAACTGAAGACTTTTGAAACACATTCCTTTTACTCAAAGGATGACTTTAAATCTGTAAATTCAATCTTGTTTTCAAGTCAGTGTGGAGGTATTTTATGGTAGGTGTGATTTTGCTACTTGTCATATAGCATGTAACAAATAAATACCCAGTTGATTTATTTATTACTATTAAGCCTAGTTGATATTTCTATTTTCTGAAAGGGAAAATATTCAATATATTAGGAGACTATGGTTGTTAGTATTTAACTTAATGATATACCCATTGCTGTTCTCTGGTACAGTATTTCTTGCATAGGAGGTAAAGTACATTCTTAAGACTTTGCTTCCCAAACAATCAGCACTTTCTTTACAGGCATATTTGGAGCTAAACTGATTTATAGTTGTAGTTTTGAATTTTAGTTTGTTCTTGAATCTCTTTGGAAGACTGTGAACATTGTGTCTTTTTAACTAGTCTATAAGTTTCTTGAAATAGAAACATTTCTTTTAAGTCTTCCCCTAGTATCTTATGTGCACACATATTGATTACAGTAAATGTTAGGCCTACAGTGCATTTAATATAACAACCAGTTATTAAACAGTAAAACACTGAATGTATTCCAGAATATTTCAAACTTTGGAAGATTCTAGATTGTTTTGTTTTCTTCCTGTTACTGAACTGTGTTTCCATGGACTCTCAAATAAATAGTATTCCAAAATGATGTCAAGCACAAGAAAATACAATTATATCCCCTTTTAGGTGGAGAGAGTGGGGCCTCTGAAAATTGTCAGGCCTACTCATGCCCAGATTTCCGTCATCTAAACATCCTATGTGGGTGAGATAAATTAAATTGCTAGAATACCAGTTCTGTGAGAACATTTACTATGCCTTTTGTTGTTGTTGTAACTTTCTTAAATAGCACAGTGCAAAACTATAACAGGTGTGCAGCAAATATTTGTTAAAGAAACACAGTTAAACCCTTAAACTTGAGTTACCCTTGTATGAACCAGGATAGGTATGGATGGAGAAGGTGGGGCAGAGAACATGTTTAAATCTGAGGATGTCTAGCGCCAGGTTCTCCTGTTTATTTTGAAGGGCTAGTAGAAAGTACCTGTTTTGTTTTTTTTTAATAAGCACAGAATGACTTTCAGGTGAGAGACCTTGGCCTGATGGTAAGACTCCCATTATTCCCTGTTAAGATAAGTAGAGAATGACAATTATATCTTTGAAACTCCAAGTTGCTATCAGTGGCCATTTGCAGTGCTGTAACATTTTCTTCTTTGAGCTGATATATATGGTACAACAGGCAGTAGCTTATTTGGGACCCCTACTCCCAACAGTACCAGGAACCACAGTCACCAAGAGTATTAGAGGAAGAATAAATAACTCTTATCTTTGGTTATAGTACAATGCTTTTTATATTCTCACGAGAATTTCATTTATGTCAGCATCAGAGCGTATTGAACATTGCAGTTCAGCCCAGGAGTGAATTAATTATACTCTTCTTTTTCTGATCTCTTATATAATGTGAATAACAGAAAAAAGAAATCTCACCCCCAAGAAGAACTTTTACTGGAACAAGAATAGCAGTCACCCATAATAATTATTCCGTCTTGCTGTCCTATGATAGGAAGTATTTTTACTTTAAAACACTAAACTAGAAACTTTATACTTTAGCCAGTAAAGATTGTTCCCATGTTGTAGAATATCACTGATTTCCTAAATATATTTTTAATTATAAGCTTTCATTTTAGCAAATTAAAAAAGAGAAAAAAAGAAAAAAAGAAAGAAAATTCTTAAAAAGAGAAAGGAGATAGCCCTTCAATCCAGATGCCATAAATGGGAAATATTATCTACCGTCCTAAAGATGACCATGAATATGCAACGGATATATTTATTGTAAAAGGTGTGAATTAACCTCCCCCATTTCTTGATTTCTATTAAGCTGTTGACATCATTGTTAGATTCTGATCGTGAGATGATGATTCAGGACCTTCTGAGTGACAACTTGATCATTTAGTTTCTTATTTTACTCCACTGCGCATCATTTTTATTATTTGAATTGTCTTTTTTTTTCTCCTTTTTTCTTTCCCTGTTGTTCCTCCAGAATGTTAAAGATTATTTTGAATATAGCTTGAGTAAATCCTACAGTTCTAGTAACACACTTGGGATTGACCTCTGGAGAGGGAGAAGGTGCTGCTCAGGAAACTTACAGTTACCACCGCTGTCCCAAAGACAGAGTGAAAGGGCCAGGACTCCTGACGGTGACGGCATTTCCAGACCAACCACGCTGCCTTTGACAGCACTTCCAAGCATTGCTATCACAACTGTAAGCCAGGAATGGTGAGTAACTTCAAAATTATATGTCAATTCTAAGTTTGATTTTCTCATTATTCTCAATACAGTTTCCTGTTATTAAAATATTAGTTATTTGTGGGATGACTAAAGCTATACACATTTTGATCATTTGTTTCCCTTTGGGTGGGAACAAGAGAACTTTTAAACAGTGGAGGTATTTTCTACCTCTTTAGATTGGAAGGAGGCTATTGAGAAAGAAATGAGATATGTTTTTATTAATGTCAAGGGAAAGCAAAATTATTGCCTATGGCTTTTTTAAAGAAGAACTATTTAGTGTGTGTCAATATGTTTTAATTTAGTAAATCAATATTTTATCAGTTCTAATCAAGATGGGATTGTATGTAAATGTGGTACTCGCATCCTCCCACAACCACATCAAAATTACAACTAAACTGATGAGCGAGTATCATTCATAATTGCCTGAAATCTAGCCAAATGGAAGTCCTACAACTAAGAATATAAAGGAAAAGTTACATCGAGACTTGTGGGAGAGGTGGAAACACAGAACAGTCTAGTCCCACACCCACATGTGGCTATAAAAATTGGGTGTGAAATCTTGACTGTGGAGGACCCTGCTGAGGAGTAAGGGGTTTCTGCCCTACACCAGGCCTCCCATTTCAGGGTTCCAGTGACAGGAAGAGAAGTCCCCATAACTTCCAGCTGTAAAAAACAGTAAGGATTGTGGCTGAGTGAGACAAAGGGCTTTTGGAGTCCCAGGCATTTCTCTTAAAGGGCCTCTGTACAGACTTACTTGGACACACTCCTTCTGAGTTTCAGCACTGGGGCAGCAGCTTGAAAGGCTCCAGGAATTTATGAATGGGATTGAACTGTCTCCTTAAAGCAAGAGCTGGAGGGGCAGCTTTCTTACAGACAGAAATGCTAGAGGAGGCCATTGTTACTTTTCTGAGCCCTTCGTCTATAGAACCAGCAAGCAGATACCATATCTGAGTCTCCATCAACTTGGTTCACACTGTTTGCCCAGCCCTAGTGATTTTCTTAGACCCTGCCACCTACTAACATGTGGACCCACACAAGCTGTTTCTAGTGGCTCTTCCATATGAGTGGCCTATCTAGACTCAGGCTTCAGACTTTCCTAAAATCTCTCAAATATGACATGTGGCTTTGAGGTGTCCCATACCTCTTGCTAAATGCCCCAGGCCCTGCACTAGTGGCAGCTGGTCTTTGTTTGGTCTTGGCTTCTCCTGGGCACCTTCAAACCCAGCTCAAGTAGCAGCTGTCTGCAGATAGCCTTATAGCTCATGCCAAGTGGCCCGAGGCAGAACACAGGCGGCTGGCACCTCCCTGGAGGCTCCAGAGCCAGTGTACCTGGTGGACAGCTTCAGACTACATCAAAGCACCACCCAACCACCTCCACAAGTGACACACTTAAGGGGCAGACTCAGTGGGTACCAAAGCCCTGCTGAAGTAAACCCTGCTCCATGGGGTGGGCCTTGCAAAGCTGATTCTTCAAGGTGGTTGCAGGCAGTATTTGCAGCTGATCTGGCTGGGGGTAAAGCTCTCCCACTGATGTGCAACAGCAATCAAGGCTCAACTACAAAAGGAGGGTGTACACAGCATAGGGCTGTGGGTGGGGGACGGCTCACCTGGAGTGCCTAGCTTGGGTGAATGGGAAGGCTGTGTTACTGGACCCTACAGAACACTTACTACGTTAGGCCACTCTACCAAGCCCAGGAGACAAAGAAACATGTCACAAATGAATGAACAGAATAAAACTCCAGAAAAAGAACTAAGCAAAATGAAGACAAGCAATCTACTAGGTGCAGAGTTTAAAACACTGGTTATAAGGATGCTCAGTGAACTTAGGCGGAAAGTAGATAAACCTAGAGAGAACTTCAACAGCATAAAAAAGGACACAGAAACCATAAAAAAGAACCAGTCAGAAATGAAGGGTACACTAACTGAAATGAAGACTAATTTACAGGGAATCAACAGTACAGCAGATGAAGGTGAGAATGAAAGCAGCAATTTGGAATATAACAAAGCAAAAATCCCCAATCAGAAAAGCAAAAAAGAAAAAAGGAATACCAAAAAAAAATGAGGACAGTGTAAGGAGGCTCTGGGACAACTTCAAGCATACCACCATTTGCATAATGGGGGTACTAGAAGGAGAAGAGAGAAAGCAAGAAACTGAAAGTCTATTTGAAAAAATAATGATAGAAAACTTCCTTCACTTGGTGAAGGAGATAGACATATAAGACCAGGCAGTGCAGAGTCCCAAACAATACGAACTGAAAGAGGCCCACACCAAGATACATCATAATTAGAATGCAAAAGCGTAGAAACAAAGAGAGGATCTTAAAGCAACAAGAAAAAAGCTACTAATTACCTACAAGGGAGCTCCCAGAAGACTGTCAGCTGATTTTTCGATAGAATCTTTGCAGGTCAGAAGGGATTGGCCAGACATATTCAAAGTGATGAAGAGCAAGGACCTACAACCAAGATTACTCTACCCAGGTTAGCTATCCTTTAGAATTGAAGGGCAGATAAAGAGCTTACCAGACAAGACAAAGCTGAAGTCATCAGCATCAAACCAGTATTATATGAAATGTTAAAGGGTATTCTTAAAGAAGGAGAAGAAGATGATGAAAAATGTGAACAATAAAGTGGCAATAAATACATATCTATCAACAATTGAATCTAAAAAATAAAATAAACAACAAAACAGAACAGAAACAGACTCATAGATACAGAGAACATTTTGAAGTTTGCCAGATGGGAGGAGGATTAGAGGGATGGATGAAAAATTTGAAGGGATTAAAAAGTACAAATTGGTAGTAACAGAATAATCATAAGGATGTAAAGTAGAGCGTAGGGAATATAATCAATAATATTCAAATAACTATATATGGTTATAGTTATTTAACCATATGGATATGGTTAAATTAATCAGGATGGGTATGAAATTAATCAGGATGATCACTTAGTAAGTTATATAATGTCTAATCACTTGGGCAGTTGAAGCCTTCAGCATCCACAGCTGTAACAAACATTTAATGCAGCCAAGCCCTATCCAGATTAAGATGAAACTTCATATTAATGGCCTGTTTGCCTTAGTTTCTCTTATTTGATACATTATGTTGGGCTTTAAAAAAATATGAAATGCTTCACAAATTTGCATGTCTTCCTTGCACAGGGACCATGCTAGTATTATCTGTATCATTCTAATTTTTAGTATATGTGCTGCCAAAGTAACACTATAGGGAGCTTTTTACAAGAATATTACAAGGCATGCTAAAAGGCAAGAAAAAACACAGTCTGGAGGAACAAACCAAGCTGCAGAATCAGACCCAGATATGACACAGATGTTGGAACTATCAGAAAGGGGATTTAAAATGACTAATGATGTACTAAGGGCTCTAATGGAAAAAGTAAACAACAATCAAGAAGAGATGAGTAGTGTAAAGCAGAGAGATGGAAACTCTAAGTCATAATTAAAAGGAAATGATAGAAATCAAAACTCTGCAACAGAAATGAAGAATGTTTTTGATGAGCTCATTAGTAGACTGGGTAAGGCTGAGGAAAGAATCACTGAAATTGAAATCAGGTGAAAAGAAATTTCCCAAACTGAAATGTAACAGAGACGAAATCCCCCAAACCTAAAACAGACAAATGAAGAAATGTCCAAGAATCACGTGACAATTTTGAAAGGTGGAACATGCATATTTAGAATAACAGAAGTGAATAGACAATGGAGCAGAAGTAAATATGAAGTAATAGCTGAGAATTTTCCAAAATTGATGACAGACACTAAACCACAGATTTAGGAAGGTTAGGGAATACCAATAAGGATAAATACCAAAACACCTATACTTAGGCATATCATATTCAAACTACAGAAACCCCAAAACAAAGATAAAATCATGAAAGAAGCTGAAGAGTAAAAACCATATGCAGAGAGGAGCAAGGATAAGAATTACACCAAAGTTCTTGTTAGAAATCATGAAAGCATGAAGGTGGTGGAGTGGAGTCAATTATTTAAAGTATCGAAAGAAATGCCACCACCCCATCAACCCATAAATCTGTAACTAGCAAAATTATTCTTCAAAAGCGAAGGGGGAATAAACATTTTTCATACAAATGAAACTTAATGTAATTCATTATCAACACTCCTGCCTTGAAAGAAATGATAATAGAAGTTTTTTGGTTCAAAGGAAAATGATATAGGGCATAAACTTGGATCTATATAAAGAAAAAAATGTAAGAGAAGGAATAAATGAGAATCAAATAACATTAGTTTTCTTAACTAATCTTTCTTTATAAAACATGACTGGTAATGTAATTATAGTAATAACATACAACCTGTGGACAAGTGAAGTGAATGACAGCAATGCTATAACGGACAGGAGGGAGAAATATGAGCTATTCTGTTTTAAAGCACCTGTGCTATCCCATAAGGCAGACTTATATTAATTAATAACACATATTAAAAAGTCTAGAGAAACCATTAATTTTTAAAGAAAGTATAATTAATATTGTCAGAGAGGAGAAAAAATAGAATTATTTATTACGCTCTATTAAAACCAGAGAAGGCAGAAAAAGAAGGGAGAACAAAGAATAAGAGCAATGAATATAACATAGGAATGAACCCAACTATATCAATAACTACTTTAAATCTGGATACCAGTGATCTAAATACACTAATTATAAAACAGAGATTGACAAAGTGAATAAACAAAATAAGACCCAACTATTGAATACATGTCATTCACTAGAAAATCACTTTAAATATAAAGATTTAGATTTGTTAAAAGCAAAGCAGTGGAGAAATATACACTATGCTGGTATTAATTTTAAAAAGTTAGTGTAGCTATATTAAGTTTAGTTAAAGAAGACTTCAAATCAAGCAGAATTATCAGGGATATAGAGAGCCATTGCATGAGGAGAAATAGCAGTCATTAGTGTGTATGTACCTAACAACAGGGCATCAAAAATACATGAGGCAAACCTAATAGGTCTGCAAGAAGAAATGGATAAATACAGTATTATAGTTGTAGACTTCAACATTACCCTTTCAATAACTAATAGACCAAATAGGCAGAAAATTATTACAGATATATTTGCCCTGAACAACACTACCAATCAACTTGATTTAATTAATTTTTAAGAACACTCCATTTAACAACAGAAGAGGACACTGTCTTGCCAAATTTGCACTGAATGTTCACCAAGATACAACTATTCTGTACTAAGCACACACCTTAACAAATTTAAAAGGATAAAAATCATACAAAGTGTATTCTCAGACCACAATGCAATTAAGCAAGAAACCCATAACAGAAAGATAGCTGGAAAATCCTATGCTTGGAGATTAAACAACTAAACTCTAAATAACATATGGGTCAAAGATAAATCTCAAAAGAGAATGAAAAATATTTTGAACAGAGTAAAAATAAAACTATAATTTATTATAGTTTGTGGGATATAGCAAAATTAGTGCTTAGAGGGAAATTTATAGCATTATAATATATATTTGACAAGAATGAAGAAGCTAAAATGAGTAAGCCTTCTATCTTAAGAAATTAGAAAGAAATGGGACAACTCAAGACTAAAATATGCCACAGAAAATGAATAACAAAAACTAGAGTAGAAATCAGTGCAATTGAAAGCAGAAGAACAATAGATGAAATAATGCAATCAATATATGGTTTTCTGGAAGGATCAATACATTAATAAACTCTGGTAGGTCTAACCAATGAAAAGGAAAAAAAACACAGTACCGCCTTCAGAAGCAAAAGAGAAATCATCACTATTGATCTCATGGAGAGTAAAAGAACAATAAAAGATTACCGTAAGCAACTTTATGCCCAGATATTTGAAAATTTAGATAGAATAAACTAATTTCTTGAAAGATGCGAAGTACCCAGACTCACAGAGGGGAAACAGAAAACACAAATATGCCTATTTCTATTAGAGACATTGACTATAATATTAATAACTTACCAAGAAAGACAGCTGCAGGCTTAGATGGTTTCACTGATGAAATTCACCATATATTTTAGGAAGAAATAGTATCAGTTTTTCAAAATCTATTCCAGAAAATTGAAATAGACAGAATGTATCATTGAAGAAATGATATCAATTTTCCACAGTCTATTCCAGAATGTTGAAGTAGACAGTAATGAGGCCATCATTACCATAACACACAAATCAGACAAAACCATTACAAGAAAGGAAAATTCCAGACCAGTATCTCTGATGAACATAGATACAAAAATCCTCCAAAGAATTAGCAAATAAAATTCAAAATTGTATAAAAAGGATTATATATCCTGACCAAGTGGGATTTATTCCAGCTATGCAAGGCTGGTTCAACACCTGAAAGTCAGTCAATACAATCTACTATCCCAACAGATTGAAGAACAATTACATAATCCTATCAGTTGATGCAGAAAAAGTATTTGGCAGTATCTGATACCCATTTATGATAAAAACTGTCATCCAGCTGGAAAGAAAAGAGAATTTCCTCAACTTGAAGACCTCGATAGAGAACTTACAGCTAACATCTTAATAGTCAGAAGCTAGATACTTTCTGTATAAGATTGGAACAAAAGTAAGAATGTCTGGTCTGATGAAACTTATTCAACATTATACTAGAAGTCCTCACAAGTACAATAAGACAAGAAAAGGAAATAAAAGGTATACAGTTTAAAAAGGAAGAAATAAAACACTCTTTACAGATGATGTGATTGTTTATGCAGAACATCCCAAGGGATTCTGAAAAAAAACCTTTTTGAACTAATAAATGAGTCTAGCAAGGTTGCAGATTATAAGATTAATATATAAAATTGATTGCTTCCCTACACACTAGAAATGAAAAATTGCAATTTGAAATAGTAATAATAACAAATACTATTTATAATAGCATAAAAATAAAAAAATATTTAGATACATCTAAAATATGTACAAGATATATAGGCAGAAAATTATAAAATTCTGATAAGAAATCAAAAAAGGCCTAAATAAATAGGTATATTGTGATTTTATATTAAAAAATTCAAAAATTTTAGGATACATTTTTCCCACCTTCACTTATAAATTTAATGCAATTTCAATAAAATTTCCAGTAAACTATTTTGTACATGTGAACGAACTGACCCTAAACTTTATATGAAAGGAAAAAGATCTAGAATGATTGACATAATACTAAAAAAGAAGAAAGACTCACACTACATGACTTAAAGATATTATAAAGCTATAGTAATCGATATAGCATTATATTGGCAAAGAATAGATGCATAGATCAATGGAACAGAATAGAGAGCTTGGAAATAGACCTATAAATATAGTCAATGTTTTTTTAACAAGGGAGCAAAAAAAAAATCCAGTCATGAAAGGACAGTCATTTCAACAAATTGTGCTGGAACAATTAGCCATCCATGTGCAAAAAAAAAAAAAAAAAAAAAAGAACCTAGATATAGCCTTACACTGTTCATAAAAATTATATCTAAATGGATCATAGAATAAAATGTAAAATGCAAAACTATACAACTCTTAGAAGATAAAATGTAGGAGGAAAACTAGGTAACTTTGGATTGGGCCACAAGTTTTTTTAAACAAATATTTTTTTTTTTTTATTTTTAGAGAGAGAGGAAATGAGGGAGAATGAGAGGGAGAGAGACGTTGTTGTGTGGTTGTTTCTCACTCAACGCCTTCGGGGGAGCTGGCCTACAACTGAGGCATGTGCTCTGTCTGGGAATTGAACCAGTGACCCTTTGGTTTGCTGGCCAGCACTCAATCCACTGAGCCACACCAGCCAGGGTGGGCCACAAGTTTTTTTTTAATTCATCATTAAACATGATTATTGAAAGAAAAGAATGGTAAGTTGGACTTAAGTAAATTGAAAATGTCTGCTCTGCTGTCCTATGAAAGACAATGAAGAGAATGAAAACACATGGCACAAACTAAGAGAAAATATTTGCAAAACATGTATTTGATAATGAACTTGTATCCAAAATATACAAGAAACTTAAAAAAATTTAATAATAAGAAAACAATCCTATTAGGAAATGGGCCTATGATTTGAAGAGACAACTAACAAAAAAAAAAAAAAATGCAGATGGCAAACAAGTATCTGAAAAGATGTTCAGAATTATTTGCCATTAGAGAACTACGCGCTTATTAAAATGGCTAAAATAGAAAAAAAAACCTGACAATACCAATTGATGACAAGAACGTAGATCAACAAGAACTCTGAC